GTGACCCACTCCGCCCCTCCCTGCGTCCGTGGGGTGTCCGCGCTCTCGGGGTCCTTTCCCGCCGGAGACTTGGCCAGTGTGCTTCGTGATGTAGTGACCGTTAGTTGTTCTTCCGGGGAGGGGGGTCGCCAGAGAGGCCCCAGCGTGTTTGAAAAGCAAGGTTTGTGCAGCGCTCTGGTCCCAAAAAGGTGCCAGCCCGGGAACTGAGGGGTGGGGTCCGCCGCCGGGAAGACTGAGAGGACGGAAGTGGGGCCTTTCCCCCTCTATTGCATCCACCTGCCCCCTCCCTCCCGCACCCACGTGCCCTATATTCATGGCAGAAAATGACCAAATCCTGTGTATTTGTTTTATATATTTAATAACTGTTTTAAATGAAAGTTTTAGTAAAAAATCAAATTGCTATTGCTGTAGTAAGAGAAGCTCTTTGTATCAGAACATAGTATTTGAAGTTTGTTTGTTTTTTTAAACTTATTTAAAAGGGGGGGGGCATGGGAATGATTTAACACCGTTATATTATTATCTCTGAAAATGAACTTTATGAACCTTTTCCAAGTTGATCTATCTAGTGACGTGGCCTGGTGGGCGTTTCTTCTTGTATTCTGTGTTTGGGTTTTTTGTTTGTTTTGGTTTGAGTTTTTGGGTGGTTTTTTTTTTGGCTTTTAATACAGACATTTTCCTCCAAAGATGCGTATGTAGCCTTTTCTTTTTTTTGAGTTAAAAGAAGGAATCCAAGAATTACAAGATGTTCCCCAGAAACGTGGAGGGAGGGAATCTCCAAAAAGTTCCAGAAGGGCTAATGCTGTCTCCCTTACTGGGAGAGGTAGGAGATGGCAACCATGTTACTTGCCCTGGTGGAAATTGTTTTGTGTCTTACCACACTACCCCCCACCCCTACCCCTCAGCCTCATTGAGGCGTAGCATACAGGGTTCATGTGATTTATCTTTTTGCCCATTGACCCAGCCTCTGCAAAGCACCCATTAAAGTGCCAAAATGGTAAAAACCAATAGTTCTGAGCCGAGCGCCTCACAGAAATGACTCATTTTAGAAAGCATGTAGTTTTCCTTTTCATATGTGTAAACTTGAGCGTATGAGCATATTTCAAAAGCTGGTTTTAAAACCTAAGATACTATTTTAGCACTAATAAGATTTTTTTTAAAGGTAAACTCTTGGGGACTCAACAGTGTGTAATTACAAGGCTGTCCTCACCCCTGGTGTCATGTTATAGTGTCTGCTGGGCAGTGGTTCCAGATTCTTCAC